CTGCCTGCCTGTCTGCCTGCCTGTCTGTCTGTCTGTGTGCCTGTCTGCCTGTTTGATTCAGGGCAGCATCACTGGCAAGGTCGAGTGGCTGGACATCTAAAGATGACACCCAGCTCTCTACCTGTCTCCTATGTCTTTTTCCACTACTTTAGCGATCTGAGGGGCGTGAGGACCTTTCTATTATTCTCTCCCAAATCCAAACAGCCTCTTCCTCTTCATATAATAATCCTTTTCCCACAGCTCAGGACTACAAAGCCACGTCAAACACATCAAAATCTTCCCCACAGGCAGCCTCGCAAGACCATCACCTCTCAGGAGCAGCCACGCTCCACACGGGACAGGACAAATGCACGAAGGGTAAGCAAGTGACAGGAAGGCCACGTGTGGCTGCTCCATGGAAACCGTGAGGCAGGGGACAGACACCATGTCGGCTCTGGACACCGCCAGGGCAGGACTCTCACAGGAGCAGTGGCCAGAGATCTGTCAGGAGGTCACTGGGATATGAGTGATGAGGTCCACATGAGTGAGTTCATAATAAAAATCAAAGTACACATCACATGGGGTGCTGGGTTCATCTACATTGTGTAGTTTCCTTAGTGTGAGATGCTGACATTATACACATTGCACATAATATATAAAATACTGTACATAATATATAAAATATATGCAATATACATAAAAGATAGTTAAGATAGTTATAGTACTAATTTCTCTTACTTCATTGAAAAGAAAGATTTGAACTTCCAGGGAAACATGGCGGATAGATAACAGCAGCTACAGAGGCTCTCTGAGATAGCCAGTTTAGAATCCAGGAATGGTGTGGTATGAGGAGTCCTAAGCAGGGGGAGATATACCCTGCTGACCCAGGAACCAACTAAGCTGAGAGAAAACAACTGGAAATGCAATCCCGGTGCTACGACTGGAACAGCTAAAGTCTCAGTGCTGAAGCTGGAACCTGCACCTTTGAAAACCGCAGCTTGAATTTCCTGCCACTGCTGCTGCATCTGAATCGGCACAGCAAGGATAGAGATGTGAAAGCTCTGAGAGCAGGAATCAGCGAACCGAATTGAGAGCAGAGCTGGTGGGGAGCCTTGCATTGAGCTGCGGTGACTGAGAGGAATGGGGACCTTTTCATAGACTAGGAGGCTCCAACAGAGGACATTCTGGGACCAGGCAGACTAGCTGGAACAGGACGCTGCAGTGACTTCAGTCACATATTCCCCTCTCAAATAGGATTGGTGGGGAGTGCTTGGCCTGGGTGATGCCATGGACTAAGACCCAGCAGGCTAGCCCAAACCAGGTCCCTGTGCCTGGCAGTGCACTCTAATGCAGTGAAGCCTTCAGCAGGTTGACTGGCCTGGAGGGGTGGGCCCAGCATAGGCTGCCCAGGTCTGTGTCTCCCTAGTACACTGCAGTGGGTGGGAACACCTAGCTGGCACGATTCAAACAAACTGTAACCAACAAAGAAAGAAACTGGGTCTCCTACATACGCTTGTATGGAAGGAACAAAAAGTATGGGAAGAGGAAGCAACAAGAAAGGGTCCTCAATCCCCAATCCTGAGAACACTGATCCAGGAAAGGTAAATGCAAAGGAGAATGAGGATAGAAAACATGCAATATCAGACACAGCACCAATAGACATAAAGCAATATCTCTGGAGCCTCGTAGACGAGTTCAAAAGCGAAGTATTTAACTAAGTAAAGCAAGATATAAGTAGAACAGTTAAAGAAATGCTAAGCACCTCCCAAGAAAAAACAGATGGTGGAATGGAAGAACAGAAAAAAAGGGGAGAATTGTTTGGTGGAGAAAATAGAGAAAACATAAAATACATGAAGCAGGTTCAAAGAGATTACCAGGAAACTAAAAACTATTGAAAGCTGGCATAACAGTTTGAAAGAAACTAAGGATAGATTATCTGAACTGGAGGACAGATTTGTAATATGGGAGCATGAAAGCAAAAACTTCTGAAAAATAACAAGGAAACAAGCAGTAACAATACAAAGGCTAGAAGATGATAAGAGGATCTATACTTAAGAATTAAGAATGTAAAGGAAGAAGCAGGGATACAAACAAATGAACTGCAAAGGCTAGTCACAGAAATAATCAAGGAGAACTTCCCTAATATGGGAAAAGGTAAAGATACTCAGATGTATGAGGCATACAGGACCCCAGCCACCTACAACCCAAACAGAGCTACACCCAGGCATATAATAATCAAAATTCCAGAAATCCAATATAAGAACAGAATATTAAAAGCTGTCAGAGACAAGAAACACATCACTTACAAAGGGCACACCCATCAGAATTATAGCAGACTTCTTGGCACAAGCCATCAAATCATAAAGAGTGTGGGGGGGAAATAATTCAAGCTTTGAAAGATAATAACCTCCAGCCAAGATTGATATATCCTGCACAACTGTTCCTAGAAATTGATGGAAAAACAAGGTGCTTCCAGGATAAAGAGGAACTAGGGGAATTTGCAACCACCTATTCAACTCTACAGAGAATACTGTGGGACATTCTAAAAGAGAAAAATACCAAGATTCCAGAAACAGTGTCAGAGAGGCCACAATGAATGGAGCAGAAAGCAAAATAAAGAGGACAAACTGACAACTAATGACAGAAAAACAGCTCAACAGAAATGAGGCAGAGAAGCTTGGATGGTATGAACAGCTATTTTGGAGAAAACAAGACATCATAATAGCTAGTGCTGATTTAATATCATCCTATTTTGAAGTCCCATCAAGCTTTTGTCCTTCTGTTTCCATCAGTCTTAATAGGCTGTATCTTATTGGATTTTATTATATGTGATAATATAAACAAAACTTTTATAGACAAGGAGATAATAGAGAAACCATTGTTCATTTTCTGTTAGTTGGTTCTAAATACCCTGTAATACTGTCATTCTCTTGAATGGTTTTACATTGTCTTGATATGTTTGATGCTATAGGATACGATGTTATACTCCAAGATTTCTAGGAAAGAGACACTATGGTAACTACTTTTATGTCGGGATATCTTGTGGTGAAACACTATTTTGCTTAAATGGTTATGTTCTGACCTGTGCTGTTGTGTTGTTATGTCCTCTTTACCTCAATCTCCTTTTTTTATTATTTTATTTGTATCTTTTTAATTAAGGGAAAAAGTAAATAAAAAATATCAGGAGATATTATAGTAATCCACTTTGATTTCCTATTAAGTTGATTTGAAACCCTGTATTGTTCTTACCATCTTGTTTTGACTGATTTTCCCCTATTCTGTTTTGCTTGATAGTATCAAGTTTGAGAGTATAAGCAACCCACTGTGAAAACAATAAGATTCACTATGATGCCCATTCTGGTTTGACTATTATCTTCTTTTGAAGTCCTGTAATGTCTCCAATGTTTTGGTTTTACTGGTTTTGTTCTTTACTGTTTTGTTCAATTTTATTATAACTGATGACACAGGCAACTCTTTTTAAGATAGCAAGAGGCATTATGGTAACCATTGTCGATCACCTTATATTCTGTTTTTACATCATGTACTATGTCCATCCTTTTGATTTGACTGACTCTGTTTTGTTATGTCACATTTGGTTTTATTCTCTTCAAAAAAAAAAAGTAATAAGAACTGTGGGAGTAATAAAACCCAAAATGTGTAACTGTCATTGTACAAAAGAGAGGAAAAGAAAGTGCTCTAAAGGATATAACTGCATGTATATTTAAGCGTATTAGGTAGATAACCATATTACTGAGTTTTTGTTGGATCATTGAACAGAACTGTTTGCAGTCTCACTGTTTGAATGTCCACTTTATATGCTTTAATTTTGTAACCTGAACAACTATTTCTAAGATGACAATATGTAATCTATTAACTAGTGATTTCCTACTGTTTATTTTTTTTGAAATTCTGTATAACTTGTACCCTTTTTCCATTTTTTTTCCTTAAATAAAAAAGGTTTGTGTCATTACTGTTTGCATGACTAAATGCAGATATCTTGTACTCTGAGTAATTTAAAGATAACAATATGAAATGCATTAACCATTGTTACTCCTAATTATCTTTTTTTTTGGTACTGGGGATTGAGCTCACAACCTCACACTTGCCAGGCAGGCACTTGTGCCACTAAGCTAAATCCCCAGCTCCCTCTAATTATCTAATTATCATGTTTTGAATTTTTTTTTTCTCTTTAAAATAAAAAATAAACAATACATGATGTTAGGGACTGAACTCAGGACATTATATTAGGCAAGAGCTCTTCCACTGAGGCAGGAAACTTCTAAAAAATATTCTACTGCTTTTTAGAAAGTTACTGACAAAGGTTTTAATGGTGGGATTCCTAGTTTTTTGTTTTGTTTTGTTTTAAAGAGTTAGGCTTAGGGCTGGAGATTTAGCTTAGTGGCATAAGCGCCTGTTTGGCAAGCATGAGGTTGTGAGTTTGATCCGTGGTACCAGGAAAAAAAGTAAGAAAAAAAAAAAAGTTAGGCTTAGCTAAGATGAATAAACCAAGTTCCTTTGCCACTATCAGAAAAAAAGTAACTGAAACAAACATGACTTGGTACCACTTTTCTGTCCTTAATTTTAACCCTCTTTTGTTAAAAAAGTTTTTTGTCTTTTTGAGACAGTGTCTCTCTATGCAGTTCAGGCTGGCCTTGAGCTCACTTTGTAGCCCAGGCTTTTGTTAATTTTAGAGTAAACTTTAGAAGCATTCAATGAATAACATAACTTAAATTTGGGGAACTTGATCTTAAGTAATTGTATCACATTACATTACAAAAAGAAGGGAGAGAAGAAAGCAGCCCTGGTCCTGACAACACTGCAGAATACAGGAACCCTTTTCCATTTGAAAGAGTCAGGCAACAGGAAGATGACGCCTCCTCGCCACTGACACACACTAGAGGAAAAAGCAAAGGCAAACTGGGGCGCCATGAGGACAGATCGAGGCAGGCACCCGTCCTCCGTGGCCACAGCCCCTCCCCGCACGGGAAGCCTGGCACCCGGCTGCGCCTCTGCCCGCTCACCTGATGAGCACACACTGGTTGTCCTGTCGCTTCCACAGGCAGCGGTAGCACTCGTTGGCCACAGCAAAGATGTGCGGCGGGAGCTCGCCCAGGTGGCACCTGCGGTAGCGCTCCACGGCGGCGCCCTCGTACAGGCCGGCGATGGGCTGGTAGGGGTTCACCGAGGCCAGGATGGAGCCGATGTAGGTCTGCAAGCACAGGACGGGGGACAGGGGCAGTGTTAGGTGGGCACTGAAGCCGGGGGTCACCTTCCTGCCATGCTGCACGCTCAGCAGAGCCTGATGGTGCAGGTCAGCAAGACCTACATAGAGGTGCATGTGGTGGCGAGCTGTCCTCGCTGTCCAGCACCTCTGGGTGCAGAGTCCTCCTGTCCTGCACGAATGAAAGGAGCCATCTCAGAGGGGCTTGTGGGAAAAGGGAAACGGGAAAAAACTAGGGAGCCTAGCCCCAAGTCCCCGTCCAGGCTGATCTCTCAATCCTAATTCCTTCCCGGGCACGAAGACCTGTGCCACTTTGGCCATTATCAAACAGCGGGAAAAAAAAGTGACAAAGAGGATTGGTAGTGCCACCTGGGGCCCGGGACAGGAAAGAAGACTTGCTGTTCTGTGAATGCCACCTCTGCCTGGAGATTTGGGGAAGCCCAGGTGGTCAGCAGTTATGGACACATGACAATGGGAATGCACTGAATGTTGCGGAATGGTGGCTTCCAGACAGAACGGCAAATGTCACGCTATGACATCAGCTAGGTCTGCTTCTGGTGGCTGTGCCCTTTGGGAAGTGCCAGAGATCAGGGGACAATCTTGTCTCTTGGGGCAATACTCAGGCCAGAAAATGTAGCAAAAGCCTGTGTCCAGTGACACAGAAGCTACCAAGTTTCCTAGACTCAATGCCTGGGTGCTGGAGGCCAGCAGCTCTGGAGCCCACTTCTGCGACGTGATCTGGGGGACTGTTCCTCCACCAAGCGTCCAGATCCAGACTCAGAACAGGTGAATCCACAGAAATGGAAAGGCTGGGGTTTTAAGGGAGGACAGGAATAAGGCCGGGTCCAGGCTTTCCATTCAGGGTGCTGAAAATAGCTGGGAGCTAGATAAAGGCGTTGGTTACACAGCATCGTAAAAGTATGAAGTGCCACCGGTTTGAACACTTTACAGTGATTAATTTTATGCTAAGCAAATTTCACCTCCATTAGTGAAACGAAAGTGATTTTACAAGTTCGGCCCTTTGGAAACTCCAGCTGTGGAGAATGCCCACCTTTTCTGTCACAGAACCATAAGGAAGACTCAGCCAAAAAGAAAGACAGAAGGGGAAGGAAAGCCTGCTACTCCGGCACCCCCTTCCACACTGATTCTCAGGAGAGGTGACGCTGAGGCGGTGTGTGCCCGGTGTCCCCGTCTATTGTGTCTGGTAGGATCTTTTTTTTTTTTTTTTTTTTTTAATATTGATACCGGGGATCAAACTCATGACTGCCTGCTTGCAAGGCAGGCGCTTATGCCACTGAACTAAATCCCCAGCCCCTATCTATTCTGCCTGAAATAGCAGTTCTTTCTAGCTGGTCAGTGTGGTTTTTGTTCCACTAAATTAAAAATGTTCACTTTTAGTATGAAATGTTATTTTTTCCTACTTTGATAGAAGGCAACCCATTTCTCTCTCTCTCTCTCTCTCTCTCTCTCTCTCTCTCTCTGTACCAGGGATCAAACTTACAACCTCACACTTGCCAGGTAAGCGCTTGTGGTGCTGAGCTAAATCCCTAGGACCCCCCCCCCCCCCGCAATTTCTCTTTTGAGAGCAGGACAGGCCAAAAGAGGAGGCCAACCCGGAGTCTGCTCTGTGGTGGGACACACAACACAGAGTCCAGCATGGTCTGATACCTAATTAGTCTTTTACAGTAGACCACACTGCACCTGGCTCAGGGCAAGAGTTTTCAATGTCTAGAGTGAAATAGGCAGCCATGCCAGCCACAGACTGGAAGGAAGTCAAGGTCCACGTGCCAGCCCCATCCAATCAGCAAGCTTGTGGAGCTGACCGGAAGCTGGTAGTCCTGACAGCAGCCCCGCTCTGCACGGGCAGCCCAGATCTGCAGTAAGTGGCTCACCTCTTAAGGATCCTACTCTTTGGACTTGGCAGATTACACAGCTGTAAGGCCACCATTATAGCCAATCTATGACATGAAAATTATTCTGAGCCACCATCTTCGCTGGTGGGGGGACTGTGTGCTGTGAGGTAGGGCCAATGGTCCCCCAAAGTGCATACTATCGCTGGGGTGAAAGATAAATAGATAAAAAGATAAAAAGATAAAAAAAGATAACATCACAGTTGGTTTGCAGGAAGATGTTACTGGCCAGTGAACACTACCATGGCTCTCCACGGCTGCGGCTGGGGGGACCCATGCCTATCGCCATACTGAGGTCCAGGTCTGACTCAGAGACAGTGGGGTGTGCCACATAACTGTCCCTCAGCTCAGTGAGTTACCGAGGACAAAACATGGTCCCTTATTAAACCTACAGCATCAAGAAATTTATAGTTCCAAATGCTTTAAATACTGCTAATACCTGATTTGTACAGCTTCATGTGAGCAAGCCTTGATTTTTTCCCCCATTTTGATGGAAAACTTGGAGACGGTACAATTCATGCTCCTGTGTCCTTAAACTAAGGTTAGTGTAGCTGATTTAACCTTTTCTTCAGAATTTCTGGTCTCCTGCAGGTAAAAATGCTAAGTACTAGCAAAGAAAGGAGGCTGATATTCATTATCTTGGAATCTACTCTGAAGCTGCACCAGGCTCCGGGCCTCTCTCTTCCCCCACCTGCCTCTGGGTTACCCACGCCTTCCCAGGCCTCCTGTGGCCTCCAGGATGGAGGGCGGCAGGCTCCAAACCACCCATGGAGTCAGAGCTGGAGCCTTGCCCCTCCCCCATCCCGCAGTCACGGCATAGGCGGAAGGTGCCGGGAAGGGCTTGGCTGCAGGCGACCTGAGGGAAGACACCAAACCAGGCTTTCCAGGCGTTGCATCCAGTGGAAAGAAAGATTTCAGAGTTGTTTGCATTTTCACACACTTAGAACTTCTCTCCACGTAGGCTGGGGTGGGGGTGGGGGGCGAGAGGTGGAACTCTTGACCAGTTTGGGGAAGGCCTCTGGGCTGGATCCTCAGTGCTAGGGGGCGAGGGAAAACTTTGCCTTTTAAGGGAAGTTAGATCAATCCTGGGCTGATGTAAGTTTGTATTCCAACAGGACTCCACAAACGCAGATGCCTTTCTTAGGGTCCACCCCTCTTTTTGATGGGGCTTCCAACATTTGTATTCTGAGCAAAACAGAAAAAGTATGAAAAAATATATAAACCCACAGTTTAGACTATATTTAACATTCTAAACAAAGGCAAAGAGAAAGCCAACCTGCCAGTCGCCGGGGAGTGGGGAGTTCTTTAATGAGCAGAGTTCAGCTTCTCAAGAGGAAAAGTCAAGTGTGGATGTGCATTAACACCTTTTAAAAATAGTGAAGACGTCCCATTTTATGTAATGTGTATTTTGCCACAACTAAAAATGTTTAGGCTTAAAAAAATACATGAATCTTTGCAAAGAGACACTTGAAAGAAGCACGAGAGGTAAGCATTACGTAAGGTTTAAGTGTGTGCGCCTTCCGATTTTAACTCCAATGGGAAAGGAAGATGCTCTAGGGACAATTTGTAGGCCAATTAGGGAAAGAATAAGAGACATTTAGAATTTCTAGAGGAGGAAGTAATCTTATTAGTGTTCATACAATTAATGAATAAATACACTGTCATGGTTGGCGGTCAGTCAACAGATGGACATTGGATAGCCAGACCTAATTGGAGCCAAAATTCAATAATCTGAAGTTCCTCTTCCTCCTCCTGCTCCTTCTTCTTCTGTCTTTTTGAGGCAGGGTCTCACTATGCAGTTCAGGCTGGCCTTGAGCTCACTTTGTAGTCCGGGCTGGTTTTGAACTCACAAGGATCTTCCTGTCTTAGCATCCTGAGTGCTGGGATTACAGGACTGCACCACCATACCCAGCTTGAAGTTTCTTCTTTCAAAATAAAAAATAAAACAAAGTAAGGAAAATGTAAAATGTGTCCCTAACTAGCATGGATTTTGTTGTTGTGTTGTGTTGTTTTTGAGACCAAGTCTTGCTATGTAGTTCGGGATGGCCTTGAGTTCTTATGGAGCCCAGGCTGGCCTTGAACTAACTAACCACAGGAACTCTCCTGCTTCAGTCTCAAGTATCTGGGATAACAAGTGGACACCACCATGCTTGGCTTGAATTTTTTTTCAAGGTTATAGAAAACCTTGTTTCATGAAAATTAAAATGCCAGGCTAGGATACAGCTCAATGGAACAGCAATTGCCTGGCATGCCCCAGGCGCTGAATTCCAGTCCCACAATGCCCAGGTAGCAGGTAATAAATTGCCTCCTATCCAGCACTCCACCAAGTGCCAAGGGCAAACAGGGCTCTCACAACCCCAAGACACAAGTTTTGTGCTCTCCCCGTCATGGGCCCCTCAACATGGCTGTGCACAAGGGTCCTCCCCTCCAGAAACTTCTCCCGTCATGTCGTGGTCAATGACATGAAGTCTGTGTGACACTTCACCAGCGCATGCCTGAGAGCTATGCCCGTCCTCCATGCTCAGGTGCTGACCCAGCGGACATGGCCCAGGCCACACCGATATGCAGGGCTGCCTCCGGCGCACTCCACACACAGCACTCGGCCCAGCCGGGGTCTCCATGTCCATGCCATGCTGTGTTGTGATGCCCACAGCTTCCGGTCCATCTGACCTCCGCAAGTGCCCCAGTCCTCACAGATTACAGCCACGCGGCACATAACGATATTTCAGTAAGTGGACAGGGTGGGGACACAGCGTGGTCACCCCACTGCTAAGCAGCACGTGACGGGGCCCTCACGACAGGTCACCAAATGATCTTCGCTACTGAGCTCTAACTTTGTGTCATGTGTGCCATGGGGTCCTTCTGAATTGGCTAAAGCGAGAGGTGACACGGAACAGCACCCATGGGGACAGCTCACAACTGTCAACTCAAGAAAGAGAAACGACAGTGATTGAAATCTTGGGTGGCCGGCAATGGGAATTATGGCTGAGCACACCTTCTCTCCTCTTTTTTTTTATTGGTACATTTTAGGAACACACAATGACCCATTCATTACAGGGAATTTGTACCTGCACATGT